TTGAGCCAGTCCACTCAGTCCACTGGTGGTTAGTCCATACAGTGTATGGACTTTTACTACAGTAATTTACAGTAATTATAGCCCAGCATAAGCAAAAAAACAAAAAAGAAAAAATGTTCGAACGGCCAACCCAGTATATTTTCATCACGGCCATGTTGGATCATTCTGCTCGTGCATTGAAAAAAACGGGTTGGCTTGATTTATAGTTTGCTCTAGAAAGGAATGAGGGGGGGAATCATCTGGCACATCTGGTGTGTCGTGTCTCACACATACTTAATTGAACTTGTCCTTTTTCCCTCCACGCTCCTGGTTGGGACCCTCAACAAAAACGCCGTTTGTGGCTGGAGTGATTCAGCAAAGGACAACCGAACCAAATGACCAAAGGCATTGCCTCTCGTTTATCAAAGTCGAGTCTATCATTCAGCACCTCCTGCTAAATCCACTGGCGTGAAGCCATTGACCTGTGTTGCCCATCTTGCAGATGGCTTGTTGCAGATCAGAACCGTCAGAATGGCTTCTCATCTCACTTGGCTTCTCGTATACGTACGTAGGAATGCTTCTGCAAGATCTGCCATGAGGAGGTTGAACAAGTGTCACGGGCATTCGCATCAACCGATCTGGATCCCACCAATGAGAGAAGCTTGGTCCTATTCACTCAGCCCCAAACATCAGCGAACGAAACTGGAATCCTCACACTTGTCCAACAACAACAACAACAGAATCACCAGAATCCGAATCACCGAAAGCACATCCCTCAACCATCACGCCGCCACGTGCGTGGCGCCGAACCGCCGGCCGTTTCTGTCGAGCTCCCTCCGGTGCGCGAGACGGCCGGAGCTCACATCCTGCATCCAGGTCTGAAGATCGGTGAGCTCCTGAGGGAGGTTCCGGGGCACCAGGTCTGTGCAGGTCGGTCGGCAGGGGGTCGCAGGAAGGGGGTCTTTGATGTGGCTGGGTCCGTCATTTGGAACGCTGCTACTGCGGGGGAAGGAGGAGCTTTGAGCCTTGGACAGTGAATCCCCTTCCGATGTGTTTTTTACAACTTTTTCCCGTTTTCTCTGTTCCTTAATATGACTAGCAGCAAGGACGCGCTATTAGGTGGAGGCCATTGCAAGTAGGTTGGACGTGCATCGATTTGGAATGAAGCCACGCGAGGAAGCCACGCCAAAGAACAGCTCGAAAGTCGCTCCAATTTCAAGCAGCTTCGAGCTCTGTACGTAGACGTAGACAGGTGGGTGGGAAATGTCGTGAACCGGTGAAGAGTATTCCCAAGCTTCCATTAGAATGCAAGCAGTGGATCAAATAAATGCCTTTGCGTTCAATTTTGTGGAGCAGGAGAACTTAACTTATCAAAGGATATCAAAGGTATTCCGAACTGTTCTTGTGGTTCTAACATTTGACCCCACCGGGGGAATCCGTGGCTGACTGGTGGAGTTCCGAACTGTTCTTTTGGGTGTCTATAGTATAGTATGCCCAAATGGTCAAGACAGGTCAAGATAGGTCCTGTCTTGACCATTCTCGGAAGCCTCGATCCTTGCCGGCGCTTCGACCCGGTCCCAAGCAGTTCGTTTCTTTTCGTCCCACTTTCCGTAATGGATCCGAACACTTAGGGTTACCGGGTTTGCCATATCCCAAACACGACACATGGGACTGCCATAGGACTGCCGCCCCATTGACCCCCCAAACCACCCCAACTGATCGGAATATACGGCATACATGGAGTGTTTGGGTATGGGGTTCCAACATGTTCCAACCTGCTTCTGCTTGGCACTGGGAAACCTCGAACCGTCCCCCATCTCGACGCCGCAAACGGTTCGGGGAAGCCATACGGTTCGAATGTCCGGAGAGGACACGGCAAACGGAATAACGTTGAATCACCCCGTGCTTTTCCTACAAAAGCGACATCAAATCTCTTAAACTTAAGTTCTGAATTGGCAGCCTCCCCAAAACCTGCTCTCCTGCACCTCCGCTTGCTCCGCTTGCCGCGCCACCCGCACTCCACGGACACCGGTCAACCTGCCGGCATTCGATGCCCGTGGCCGGTTCAGCGCACTCCGCGCTCGCAGAGGTCCAACAAAGGCGCGGAGTGCACCCAATGCCAAGAGGGCTGGCAAGAGGCGGCGCTGCATGGCGCGGAAATGAAGCGAATGTAAAACAGCCTGACCCGACCGATTCAGAGAGACCTCCGGCAGTATGGCACAAACCGGTGAAAAACCCTTGGCATTGCTGAAATGAGTTCTTCTCTCTCCATTTCCATGCAAGAGAATCCGGTTGTTCGGACACTTGCTGAGAGGTGTTGAAGCAATTGCCAGATCCTAATTGGTTGATTGGGATGAACATTACAATCAAAATGTATCAACTTGTTACTTGTGTATCTGAACGGTCTTCAATAGTTCAAGAATGGTTCCATCCACATTACCCTGCAACTTGGCTTGCCTGTGAGAATCAGGCGCTGGCTTGCCGGGTGAGCAATGAACCCTTTGACTCATCTCATCCTTATCCAATTTTATGCGACGAAGTCCCGCTGGAAGAGTAGAACGAGGTCCCGCATCTTGCTCCGAACCCAAAGGGTCGAAGGGCATGTCCTGGCAAAATAACTGGAACCTGCGGGTCCGAATGACCTGGGGGTGCGCCAAACTCAGAGCCATACAGTTCAGGTGTGCGTCCATCTTGTCAAGACCTTTACTTGGAATATACTGACCTGCAGATAGGACTCTTCAAACTCTTGAACTGGTTCGACTAGATTTGATCTCCGATGTCATCTGATGTCGTCTTGCTGGTAGAAGATAGGGCCCCACCAGGCTCCCAAGCCCTGACTGGTGCCACATCGAGGGAAGAAATCGCTTTGGGGTATCCAAGGTAGTTTAAGGGTTTCTAGCCTTCTGGAACAGCTCGAATGCTAGCAGCAAGCAGCTCTCTGAAAGCCTACGCCACCGACCATGTCTTAGAGACCTGTGTTTCAAAAACACCAAGAAATCTACAATCTACAATCAAAGAAGCTCGTTTCATCACTGAAGGGTCTCCTTGCTGCCCACTCTGTATCATAGCCTCCCTAGTAACAAGAAGCTACTAGGTGGCCATCGCTATTCGGTTGGAGCCCATCGCTACGAACGTAACAAGAATGCTACGAACGTAACACAGGGTTTGCTCCTGTGTCTCCTTGAACCGAAGTTCCTGAGCTCCCTAGCAGGTATCAACAAGGCCCCAGCGGCGCGCGACACGGCCTGGCACATCGGTGGACCGCCCGGCAGCCACGGGAGGAACATGAAGTTGGAGGAAACAGTTCTCAACAACGAAGCCAAGAAACATAGATCATTGCCTCTGCCAGCCAGCAAAAGCCAACCTGAATCCTTCCATATCCTGAAACACACCTTCAGCTGTAAACAGTGGGACCACAGGTGTGCGTCGGTGATGAGTCCAAGCTTCGTCCTTAGACTTCGAAGCAAAGATGACAACTCCAGCACCACACAAAGGATGGTTATTGGATGGAACATACATCGTCAGCGGGGTGTTTGAACCACCCTTTGGGTGGTGCATGTCCTGGCTCAGCTGCTTTTGGGCGAAGTCATCCAGTTGAAGTCGTATTCCTCCTGTCTGACTGAACTATCGGGTCTAATATATCCTAATAATAAGATCAATGAGGGCGATGTCAACTTTCTCCTCCGCTTCGTCTCACCACAGGCTTTGATCGCTCCTGCGGAGGCTCAGGGCGACAGTATTTCCTTCAGCCAAACACATTCTGAAGGTACAGTACTCTCCCTGAAATAATCATGAAAGTGGATGGCATACGGCCCCGAAAGGAAGACCATGAAGTCCGAGTACCAAACAGGTGGTCGAGAAGTCAAAGAACCCATGATGATTACTTCAGGGAATGTACACCTTTTCTGACTCTGAGATATCAACTGAACTGACGAGCTCCAATTTGTCAGAGGCAGCCCGACTTGTTGCGACCAAAAAGGACTGGAGCCACGGAGAAGATCAAAGAAGCATCGGCAAAGCTTCCTGGGCTTGCCGAATCACCACTGGGCATCTGGCCATAGACCAAACCAGGTTTCATCCAAACGTGAAAACACATCCGTGGCATCACACTGCAAGTGCAATTGATCTTGCCCTGTACTGCTACGGAAACTGCCCTCATCTTGACGGCCAAAACTATTGCTTCATTGCAGTTTCCCACAACTTTGCAATTTCTGCTCCATCTCTTTGAAAAAGTAAGAAATACTCCCACTTTACGTCGAAGGCATGCAAGGAATGGCAAGGGGCTTGTGAATGGCTGCTCGAAGTTCTGTGGAAGGCCAGGATGCTGCAGCATATCAATATCAACTTCGTATCAAATCCAGCATGACTGCCCCCAACATCCAAGGAAGCAGCCCAGTCTTCTCCACCACGCACTTTCGTTGCATGACGACCATGACGACCTTCACCACGAACCCACGCCCGTGGCCGACATGCGCCTCCCATGCAGCCTGACTGGAGCCACTTTCTCCGCGCACTGCATTCCGCTGCATCCTGGCGGAAAGACGCCGGTGGAGTGGTTGAGTGAGATCCTAAACGGTGGAGTGGTTGAGTGAGATCCTAAACTTCTTGGGGACGCCCTGTGGGTGGGTGGTTGCCAACCATTCGCCAACAGGTTCGTGGAGTGGCTGGGCGGACTGGTTGGCAGTTGATCTGAAGAACATACAGCGCCGCAGAACTCGCCGCATTGCAACTATTCATGTTCTCAAGGGTCTAAAATCTGTGCAAGGTAACCTACTACTAGAGTATATAAATAGAGAAGAACAAAATCTACAAGATTACCCTGCGTTTCTATGTCCATGTGTTGAGGGGTATGGTCCGAAAAGGGCTCTGCATGTATACAGGCACCTCTTCTTGGCCTATAGTGCACGCCTATACGTCTCAGGTGCGTGCATTAGCGAGATGAGTACTCCCCTGCACATGAACATGGAACCCCAAAACCACTGGGTTGGTATTCGGAAAATGGTCTTCCACCGATCTTTCTTCTCAGGTTCCATGTGGTCCGTTTGCGGGACTAAAAGCCCCGCAGACTTGTGAACTCTCCATCTGATCATAGCTTTGACGTGAATCTCGAGGGCTTGCATTCCTTGAAACCGATTCGAGGGGTCTCTCTGTTCCCACCACATATGTTTTTGGCGTCGAATGTTGATTAGAATGGGAATGATACGTCAACACTCAAACATCCCTGTCAATACTTTTCAATTCTTTTCAACACAACTCTTTGATACTCTTTGTCCAAAAGACCAACGCAACATTGGAGCAAACATCTCTGGGGATGGATCAATCGCAAGCTTGAAATACAAAACCATAGAGCAAGTAGTTGAGCTTGATCTACATGCACTTATCGAACCCCCCCCACATTAAACCATTTTCCGTTCACATCTTTCAGCCGCATCTGTTGTTCTTTTCTGTCTCTTTGGAGACTTACATTACTTCCCTTCAACTCGGGGTCGGTTGCTCAAGGTCCCAGCGGTCCGGGGGCGAGCCGGGCGATTCATACACCGTACCCAAAGCGAGCGGTTGGGCGTACAGCAGGGCTAAGCAGTGCAAGCCATTCACCTGGCTGTCCCACGAGCTGATTGGTAACCCTATCATCTGTGAAAGTGCACGGGTCTGATCGAGTCAGTTTTAATCGTGATCGAGTCTGATCGAGTGGACACGTCCTCTTGGACTGGACCAAAGGCTTGGAAGGACTGGACCAGTTCTTCTCAAAGAATCTGACATGCGTCTTGCTCCTTGATGAGAATACCCATCAAACCTGCTATCAATGATCGCAAGTAATCGCAAGTAATCGCAAGCAACAGTACAATTACATGAAAGATCACCCCAGAATGGCTGCCAACAGGGAGGACAGTAGCAAACTCCATGTGAACAGCACTGCGACCCTAAGGCATGGTTGCTTTAGAACATCAACAGTACCATCTTGTTTGGCACATGACCTCAGCTTTTCAAGCCATCTTGTTTGTTTGGGCAGGGTCCATTCCAACCAGGGATCTACCAGCCTGGTGGGGTAGATACAACACATTCCCTCAAAACCCATTGATCCCACTGCGCAGTGCGGAGCGAACGGAGGGACCCACCGAGCGGACGGACCACGTGGACGGCGGGAAAGTGGGAACCGACGCAGCGGACGCGGCGCTGTTTTGGGGAATTGATGTAACTCTTCTGTATAGGCTACGGACGTAACAAGTGCATTACTACTACGTGTATACTATATAGTAGCAAATAGCTACTACTAGCGATGCACTTTGCTAGTAGCGATGCACTGATTTACTAGTCTGAGATGAATGTAACTCTCCCAGGTTCAGCGGATCGCGCCGCGGATTGAGCCGCTCCGTTGATTCTTTATAAGAAGAGGTCTTCTTTCACCACACTTCGTGGTGAGTTGATGGGTTGATTGCGTAGATATCTTGTCACGAAAAGGCAATCATATTGTATTACCGTACCATTCTTGGAACCATACTCTTGAACAAGATTGAACAGGTCACAATCTTCGAAGCCCAACACCTCCCTCCCCACTCCCCTCACCGTGGTCTCCATGTCAAAGTGCTTTTTGCAGGCCAACATTCGATCTGCCACCTTGCTATTCGAGGAAAACTGGTTTTCCCAGCGAGCGGGATCTTCTCTTTCAATTGGAAGGGAAAGGTGTCCTTGTCTGTAGTAATGTACATTTCTGGGTAGTGATTCGCTTTCCTACATGGCGATTTGCATCTCGTGTTCATGTTCTTCGAGAGGAAGCCAGTCTGTTTGGGAACGATTTCTCTCCAGAAAACTTTCCTTCCCAATGGAAACTGGCAAAGGAGTTCCTACTAAGTTACATACTATAGATATACTCTGGGGTGGAAGTTCCTCCGCCGGAATTCCACTCCAATCCCTTGTAGGATTCAAAGGGGAAAGGGTTGCAGGTCATGTCTTTACAGGCTTGTTACCAAATAAGCTTCTTGTCTTCAACGAAGTGTTATCCAACAGCTACTATTCAGCGTTTTGGGACGAATTCATTTCTGTAGTGACCCCCTATGACACCCCGAAACAAATTTCTTGCTCAATCAACTTTGACGCTTCAATACGGAGCTCACTATTTATATTGTTTACTTCCGGTTGATGAAACAAGGACAATACTGCAACTGTCTACATAGTCTACTGTCCGTGCACCTTCCTTTCGTTTCTGTCTCAGGTGGTCTATATAGAGTAGAGTGCAAGATCCTGATACACACAAACCAAAGTCTCACAAACCATCACAAACCTATTATTTCAGGGACCCTTTTGGCCTTTTTTTGAGCACGTTGATTTCAGGACCACCTGTTGAGAAATCAGGACTCAGCTCGTGAAACACAAGGCCTTGCACAACTGGCCACAGTCGAAGGTGATCTGCCAACGGGCGTAAGTCTTTAGAAGTCCCACCTCGGTTCCGGACGGTTTTCACGAAGGACTCCACCGCGGGCGGTGGAGTCCTTCGTATGCGTGCCCGACGGTTGCGGTGGAAGGATGGTTGCCCGGTGGAAGGAGAGGTGTTTATCATGCAGGTGGCCAGGGCCCTTGCAAGGCCCATAGGGCCCCAGGGTACTTTTTTCTTAGGCACAAAAGTCGTATCCATAGGGACCCAGTCCTTTGTGGCAAGTTACACCATGCATCATACGGATGCAAAGCTGTCGTATCCGGGATAGACATCACATGACATCACCCTTTGCAAATACACCCGAACGCAGTGGAGTGTTTCGCCGTCTTCGTGCAGCCCAAGTGGACTCGGACGGTCTTGGACTCGGAGGGTCGGACGGCCAACCGATGCTCTCATGACACCAGTTCTTGGCGGAGGTGTCTCACTATAGTCTACTCAGCAATGAAGACAGCAAATCTCTGGCAAGGAAGTGAGAAATGGCTCCCAGCATTTCAGCCAAGTGAGAACATGCATTGCTTGCCAATTGGGTAGAGGATCACGATATGTCAAAGAAAAGGACAATTGCCAATATGGCCTTGCTGCATGTTCCAAGGAATCATACTTCCTAGATGCTAGAGAAGTAAGTCCACTAAAACATACCACAACGGATATACAGGGTGATGGCATATGCCCCGAGTTCGGATTCCCATGAAATCCGAGGGACCCTACAGGTGGCTTTCACTCCAAGTAACCATGATTCTTTCAGGGAGTGTCCAGTAACAAGCTTTCTTCTCACTCCCGTGGGTCCAAAAACGCCCAAAGCCATGGCGGCGCCCCTGGGACTTCCCCACGATCTCCCGCGGCAGGAACAGCGGCAAGCTGGCCACCGAAGCCTCGACAAAAAAAACGGGTGGTTCTCTTGAAGGCAGTGCTATGAGGACTGCCGCCATTGGTCGATGTAGGGCAGTCCTATGGCAGTCCCATTCGTGTCTGGGACTGATGTGAATCACCATGAATCACCGACTCTCCCGGCGGAACCGACTCCTTTCGTTTCAACGACTCGACTCTTGGAATCTGAACGACGATCGGAGCGGAAGATCTGGAAGAAAAAGGAGGTCATGGTGACCGTGAGATCATGTCAATCCAAAGAAGGAACGCTGAGATTCCGTCGTCTCGGGCTCTTCAAAGTGACCCGGCTAGAGGTCACTGCCTGGAAAAGGTCCCTTAAGGACTCCAAAAGGATCACATTGAAGAAACTGGTTGAATAGTGGACACCCGGGATGTGAACCATCAAACGATGATGAGCAAAGCTGGTGCCAATCCCCGTGGAGCACATCTACGCCAGGACGTCCTGAGTTTTTACCATCGCATCATGTCGGCAGATGTCGGCAGAACTCGCACATGACTTCGCATCTGGGTCTCCAACAAGGCGCAAGTGACGGAAGATCTTCTGCAAATAGCGCCTGAGTCGCAGATCTGGGCAAAGACCGATTTGGTCGCCGACCCCGGTCGTGAATGGCACCTAGGATTCCACACACATCAGGAAACATGAAATACACGTCCAACACACGTCCCCACCAAAGTGAACAAAGCAAATACTCTGATAATTGCAATTAATTATAAGTATATTAGTCTCTGCATATTTCCTTGTCCGCTCACTGTGAGACAAACACGTTGAACATGTCTTTGCCAGGGGTATTTTTAGGGGCATAATTTCCCAATCCCTGCAATGCTCCGTGAGCACGACGACATGCAGAAACACAGTGTGAACAACACAACACTACACAATCAAATCAATCAATAGAACAAACATGCCACATCTCGTGTTTACATCATCAATGCCATGTTCTTGCCAAACGTCTAGAAGCCTTTGCATGGTGGAACTTCTTGAGTGCAAGGCAACATTTGTAGGAAAACCATTTTCCTTATATATATAATATATTATACTCTTACATACATAATCAACATTGAAAAAAAATATATTGAACATTTGATAAAATTGGTAAGTAATCCGTTGGATAAAACACAAACACCCCGATGTAAACATGCGGGCTTTTGGGTCATAGCGCTTCGTCGTTGAGAAAACTGAAGACTGCGCCTGACACATCGCACGAACGTTGCGAACCTTTTGCGAACAGCATTTCATGAGTCGAAATTGGACGAACAAAACACATGGTTTGTATTTCGATCGATTTATATATAGTGCTCTTTTCATGATGGCATCGCATAACGTGTTGCAGCATGACATCTGTGAATTTTTGTTGAAATATTTGGTGAACAACATCTAAACAGATTGACCACTATCATGAAATCTGTTAATTTCTGGGCATTCATGCTGGGTGGTGAACATGTGGTGAACATGTGGTGAACATCCAGGATCCATCAACCTTGCTCGCTTGCTCTCGCACCGAGCGGCAGGTGCGACACTTCTGCAACCTGCACAAAAGCAAGAAGCGCTCCAAACGTGAGGTGGCCCACAAAACAAATTCCTTTTCTGGAATTCACAACCTTAAAACAATCTTTAGCTAAACAAAAGCCGTTGATACATGCGACACATCGATCGCAAGCATATATAGGATATGTTGTGATATTAAGTCACCAACAAAAGTTACTGTAAGCGGGTGATCCAAAATGAATACTTAACGTCAACTTAAACGACATGCTGATCCCTGAACACACTACGGATACGTGTATAGACTTGTATAAGTTGATATCTCTCTTGGGTTGCGTTATACCTCAAATATCCTCAAATGTTCCTAAGCACCCCATGGGACTGGCATATATAATATATATATGCCTACATTGATCCCTTTTCAACCACCCCCGATGTACCACCCCTGTCTGTATGAATTCAGGCTGCCAGTCCCGGATAACCGGTCGCGTGACCGAAAAAACCGGTCGCTCCGCGGCGGGACCTCGAAGCACTGGCCAAAGGCATAGGCGGCATTCGACAGCGCGGTGGGATCCATGGAAGACGCCTAGCACCGGCGAAGGCGAACGCGCGCGCGCGCGCGGTGAGCGCGCGTGGTTTCGCGATGAAGTGGACCATGTTGGATCAAACACGGAGCAAATGACATGTTAATGGGTCATGGGGCATGTGGTCGTGTATGATTGTGTTTGGATGGATCTAAGCTTGGTGACCAAGTTTTAGACTTGAGGATTGGTTGAGTTGAGTATGCAGAGTTTTCGCTGTGATCTTCTATTGAGGTAGTCTTGATAGACGAGGGGGGTGGCTACATTTGTGTATCCTGGTTCACGCCTTTCAAGTGGAAATCACAAAGCAGCTGACGACGTTCAACTCTTTTTGCATCTGGTGATGTTTGAGCATCTTCGGAGGTTGCTGTATATGGCCATGTATCGTGATGACTGGATCTGACATCACAACAGCGGATTGGTTGATCCCCAGTTGAACTTGTGCTCCCGATATTTCCTCCAAACACCTGGACCGGGCGAGTTTTCCCTGTCAAGACCCCGTGGGGTCTTGGGGCCTATCGGGCTGCATCAGCCCAAGTCCCCGAACATGACAGGCTCCATTCTTCCCAGAGACTCCTGGAACTTGACGTAGGGGATGCCTCAAACATCGCCCAGCCTCTCCCGTTTCTCCCATTCCGGTCACGTACGTCCCGGAGAAACTGCGCCATCGATGAGGTTCGCAGCCCCACCATGGGTACTCACATGACTCACCGGTCAGGCCAAGCAGTTCTGACTCCTTGAGTCCTCAGGCTGTTACGTCACCTGTTCCCCAATTCGGCGAACGACGTTCGGAGGGTGGGTGGGAGGGTTTCTGGGACAAGGACTTTTTGGAATCCCAACATGTAGGATCATTTAGGGGAGGTGTCCTCCACCAAACCAAAGCATGTGATGTGCATTGTGGTGGGGGGGAAGATACCGTGTCACCCGCCTTCTCGCGGTTATGCAACACACAAGCGGTGAACAAGTCGTGCGCGTGGCAGGAGACGCTCCTCGGCGGTCCCCACAGGCCGAGAAGATGTGGGTGATGTGAAGAAGGGATGGGTTATATGATTAATCCACATCTTGAATGATGGATTATGCTCCTTGCATTGAGATTCATGTTGGGTTCTGCCAGTTCAAATCTCCCAGTCCATCCGGAGGGCGGAGGGACCGAGTTCGATCGCTGGATGGGAGCGACCTTTGATCGGTACCGCCTGGAGAGATGGACACCCAGACCGGCAGGCCACTCCGACTGGTCAAATCCCAACGTCTGAGTGATGATTGCATGACTGTATATCCCAAACACTCCATGAGACTGACCTATTTACCTACATTGGGGTGGTTGAAAAGGGGTCAATGTAGGTATATATAGTATATATTCCAGTCCCATGGATGGTCTGGGTCTGGAGCTTGGCTTAAATGATTGGTGTCTTTCGGATGTGTACCCATACGAGCGGGTATACAATACTAGCAGGTATATCACATACTAGCAGGTATATCAAATACTAGCAGGTATACAGTATACCCATTGAGCCTGTCGCACCTGACGCGGTCAAACGACCTTTTTGTTTAGGTGTGGTTCTAAGTCTCATCCCGGAGAAAGGCCATGACTCCTAACACAGAAAAGGCCTGATTTCCGTAGAGCCATGACAAGAAATGGATTGCATGGATTTCCCTAACAGAAAGGAACGCTGTGGGGGCCTGCGTTTTCAAGTGTTTCTAAACAGCCATTGTTTTCAATAAAATCACTTTACTTATATTATATAATATATATATATATGTATTGTTAAACGTTTCTTATATATTGATTTGTTATATATTAAACACACAAAATATTTGTGAAACAATAACCAAAGCTTATGTGCCACACAATGTAGGCAAGGAACAAGGACCTCTCAATCTGAAGGTGGAAGAGAGGGATCTCTGGGGGGGGGAAGCAAACAAAAAACATAAAGAGCATTTGGCGAAGGCTGGGAGGGAGGAGTGAGGAGGAATGGTCGACCCTCGCCCTCCAGATTAGTATCCTTTGGCAAAGGCTGAGAGGGAGGGTCTACCAAAAAAAAAAGGGGTCGACCCCCTCCTCCAGCTTAGGATTCTTTGGCAAAGGCTGGCAAGTCTAGTAGAGCAGAGTGATAAAAACACGTTTTTTAATTTTGAAACTAATTTCACAATTATTGAAATGTATACAACTGACTTTAAGCTGAAGCATGCTGGTATTACAGTATAGTGTGTTAAGATTGATGCTTTCGCCATCAAAGCTGAAGATCAAAAGAACCCAAGTGAGTGGCTTTTATCAATAAGATTGGAGGCTGGAGAGTGAGCAAGTATGTGGATATTAAATTACCTCATGAATTTTACCAAGTTGTAGAAAATTAAATTGTAGAAATTTCAACATCTAAAGATAGATACATTCAAAATGATAAGTATGATTGATACTGATACTGATGATATTGTTAGTGACATTGAGAAAGTGAACCAGGGAATGATTAGGATATTACTTGCAGGAGCCCCAAATTTAGTAAAACACACACAAAAACACGGAAAAAACACGGGCCCTCACAGCGTTCCTCTCTCTTCCCTAAACCATCCTAAACCTTACTGAAAACAACTGAAACCGTGAAACCAAGCCCGACAGACGCTCATGAGCTCATGTGACTAACCTGAAAATCATGCACTGTAGTACAGCTGCACAATTGCATGTTCGCTGCGATCAAGGCCTTCCATGATGAAACATTTCACACACCGAAAAAAAAACCACTTGTTCCGAGTGCGGCACATGCAGGCGTACATGAGTCGGGCCAACTCCAAGGGTGTGGCCTCGGGACTTGGCGAAAAACTTGAGAAATGAGACCGCCCACCCTGGTGGGTAACCTGTTCCCTTCTGCCTGGGCGAAGGCACGTGCATCTTTTTGGAGGGGTCTACACAGTCTACTTCACAAGCCATTCTAGAGAAACATGGTCTAAACGATGCTCCTTTTGGATGCCCTTCTGGTTGGGACGTTGGGACATGGCGGGTCCACGGCGCTGACCTCACGACACGACGACTGCGAATCATCCCAGTCGTCTCAAGGCCACAGGGGTTGGAGGCTGCAGGGGCTGTATGATGGCCTCCAACCCTCCTTAAGGACTTCATAAAACATCATAAAGCTAGCATTGCTATTAGGTTGGAGGCCATCGCTCTGAGAGGTTGGAGGCCATTGCTATTAGGTTGGAGCTATTAGGTCGTTGTGACTCAGTCTGACTCAACACCTGTGCTCCAATCTGCGCAGGTCCCATCCAGGGAGTTCATCTGTAGGAGTTCTCAGGGGCGGGCTCTGCGCGGGTCCCTTTGGTTATGCCCTTTGCTCCTAGTAGCTTCTTGTTACTACTAGTAAGGCACTTGTTACTAGTAACTAGTAGCGATGCACTTGTTACTAATTGATGCTAATGAATGTCAAGATGAAGCAGGAACCACTCACGTCGGACCCATGTCACGGATGTCGGACCCATGTCTTCAACGTCATCTGCGGGTGTCAATTGCCACCGCTTTCGATAGCTCCATCCTTCGATGGATTCCGCTGTCCACCAGTCCACTCTCCAGGTTGCAATATCACCCTCGCCCGTATGAGCGAGACCTCGCCTCCGGCAAGGTGGGCACCACCCCGTCGCAGAAGCGACTCATGGTCTTGGCGTCGACGCCTCGGGTGGGTTGGCGGCGCACCCGAAGAACTCCAGAGCTGTGAACTCTTTGCAGATTACAGTAAGTCTTCGTAGACCAAACGTTGTTTTGTTGGACCAAACTTGTCCTTTGGGAGATCAATGAGAGGGAACTGAGATACCTGCTGAAAGCTCTTTTAATTGGGACTCGCCTGAGGACCACATGGTCCCCAGCAGGTACGTCCCAAACCACTTTGACTTCTCCTTTGGGGGCACTACATACATCACTGGGGTGGGCGGTGGGCGCTTAAGCCATTTGTACATATGATAAATCTGATCTACTGGGGTGCGCTTCCACCTCTGTCGAGGTCACCCCACCCCCTGTCGAGGCCCCCACAGTTCACGCGTGCCAAGGCTGTGACGATGACCTCGTCGCCGCACCGCGACCGAGCACGGAGATGACACGGAGACCAGCGGCACAAACGAGCCAGAGCTGAAGCGGGCTTTGTTTTGTCAAAAAGGGCCAAAAACCTTCATCCACGGTCTTGGGTGTATTTTGGACATTTTTGGACCAGTTGAGAATCCTCTTAGAAGGCATGAACAGCAACTTTGGTGTGTTGGGAGCGAGGGAAGAGTTGGTGCATGGTTAGTTTCATGGAAGTCTTGCGGCTTTCGGGTGGGCCTTTCCTCTTTCCTGCGGCGTTCCAACGGAAACAGCCTGGTTCAAGACTAAATGTTCGTTTTGCCGACCGCATTCAGCCATTCAACCCATGGTTACACTCCCTCATAGTCCTCCGTATCCCTAAAGGGTTGAAACACACGGCCATCGCTTAGCATTTGCAGTACAGTTGGTTCATCCCCGAGCCAGCCATCAGGCACGGCTGAGTAGACCGGCGGTTGCAGATTCGAGTTTGAGATCTAGCGATCTCTGATATCTCTGTCCAATCCTTTCCTTATTTGCATACCAAACTGGGCAACTTGCCGCAGGTTTCTGTAATGAGGTTCGGTTGTTGTCTGTTTTTTTCAATTTGTTCCCTTCCATCTGGCTTTCCTTTCATCAGCCTTCACACACTTTCCTGTTTTCTTTTCATGTCCATCCTGCCTTCATGTCTGGTCACTTCATCTTCTTTCCTTCTTTTGCACGCACACCTGTCGGGACCTCAGTGTATGGTACAGCTACACTGAAACTAGGTTTCTTACGTGCCCCAGGTCTTGGTACAATCGGTGGTGCCTGGTCATTTGGTTCCCTCTACATTGCGTCTTTTCCCTTTTCTTTTGCGCTGACATGTGCTTCAACCCCTCCCTATCTGGGGTGTGTGTGTGTGTGTGCGTGCGCAACCCTTGGAATGATAGGGAGCCTTTTGGCTGTTGTCTTGTTTTAACCATGCAGGGGTCTGCAGGGAATGTCATAGTTCTGCAAACAACGAAAACGGCTATGACATTCTGTGATATCATCATCATCATTATTTGTAGCTGTACGGCTGGAAGAAAAGCAGAACGCACAGCACGACACAGCCAAGTGCCGCCAGTCATAAGGTGTAGGTGAAGACAGCGACCAGAGCAACCAAGCAATGGCAGCCACCCAACAGAGTGAAGTAACGTCGACCACCGTCGACAGCGGTAGCACCAGGTCACCGCGAACGTTACCACCAACAAGCCAAAGGCACCATCATCATCAAAGTCACAACCCCACCATGTCGATCCAGGGTACGGCCCAGCGGCCTCCACTCAATGGATCAAAGCCAAGACGCTCCAGGTACCAAGCCACAAGGCGAAGGAGGGTGCAAGCCCTGTACAACAACACCATGCCAAACAAAGTCGGCCAGCTGTACACTGTACAACACTACGTCCAAAAAAACAGCCCCTCAGCCGGAGGACTGCAGTGTCCCAACCCAAGGTGTGAGCGAGAAGAAAACGTTCACACACAACCCAAAACCACACCTGGTGATGTGGCCGAAGTAAACCAAAACTTCTCCCTTGTGCTCCATCGGGCCAGACCATCTTGAAGCAGAATCGAACTGCAGGCCAAGCAACCCCCACTGCCAGCAGAGAACGGGAATTGAACCCATAGGCTACTCACAACTCACGCCTGTGTTCAAGGAGGAATTGAACCTCCAGTTGTCTATCATCATTATTTGTAGCTGTACGGCTGGAAGAAAAGCAGAACGCACAGCGGCACGGCGCAGCGAGCTGCGCCACCAAGCCACAATCGCAAAGATTCGCCAAACCTTAAAATCTCCAGGATACCTAAAGTGTGGGCAGGACAATTCCTACTCCCAAAGGATCACGACAATCCACAAGGCAAGCCCAAAAGGCAGACCTTACACCTCCCATCTAAAGGAAAAAAACGAATCAGCCGATCCCTTTAATAGGCGTCTCATAACGAAGATCCCAGATCTTCCGAACGACTTTCGCCAACCAAGTCGTGTGAGCAGAAGATTCGCCAACTCGAAACCATCCCAAACGCTTCCCGAGGGGGTGATCACAAACAACCATCGAAGGCCTATTGTCACAGTCCCAGCTACAGTGGTCCCAATAGCCAACACGGCCACACTTCCAAATGCAATCCGTGGGGAACCCTGCAGGATTCGCTCGATTAGCAAAAACTCCAGGCGATCTAGCCGCACCAAGCATCACGGAGCGGAACGCCGCCTCCGAATTCAACAACCGACTCATCTTTGCAAAATCGAATTCGAGAAAGTCGGCGAGTGAAACATACATATCCTGATTATCATGACGAGCTTGTTTCATAAATTTGCTGAAACAAAACCAACGCCAACCATTCCTAAGAACATGTTGAAGGTGTTTCAAATGCTCAGTACCAGAACAAGTCAAATCAAGAGTACAAAGCTGTCCAGGCATTTGCCAAACCCAATTGGAACAAATGTCCCAACCTTTCAAGGCTAACCACCTCTTCAAGATGTGTAGCGGGCTTCCGCGTTTAGAAGCCCAGGCAAGGCCAAACTCATGCTTGAGCGTGTGCACCACACGCAGCAAATTGACGCCGATCACGCAGTCCATATGCGCGAGCCCACCCATGAGAACTCCTCTGAGGAAAGGGTTGGCAGCACTCAAGGATCTCTGTCCTTTTCGGAGCGCCGCCCACCACTTACGAACAACAGCATCGGTGGGAAGCCTACTGATCCAACCATACAAACACTTAGAGAGAGCATACATCCTAGCCGCAAGATGAAATTTACGAAAACTCAGACGAAGGCAACAGATGAGATGCAAGACCAAAAAAGCTTGATCAATGCGGTGTTGCTCTTTACGCCCAAAAGTACGGGGTTGAAATCCCGCCTGGACACCCAGGATCTCAAATTCTTTAGAGATTTGATCGTCCGAAATCCCAACCGCAACCAGCTTTCTGGCATGCCGAGCGGTAGAGGAAGCAAAAGACGTCTTACGGTCATTTTCAAGTAAACCAACCTTGCCGGACCAATCAGCCCAAAGGTTGCGCTTAGCCAACAAGCCTTCGGGGGACGGGGAGCTGAAACTTCGGTCATCCATATAAACGCGGTCGATTCCCCCCCGAAGTCTGGGCTGCAAGTTCTGAGACACGAACCTGAGACCAGACGTCATCCACATCTGCAAGGCAAGCGGCCCCCAAGGGTCCCCTTGAGGCATGCAACAAGCCGCATCCAGTTGCACCGAATGATAATGACGGTTCCAAACGATCCACCTTTTCTGTTGTTTCCACACTAAACTGAGAGTGTCAATCCAATGTTGGGGGAAATGGCCAGCATGGAGAAGAGCCTCCGTACCCTGAGGGTCTAAAGTGTCATAGCATTTCGAGAAATCTAAGGTACACCCAAAACCATCATTGCTAATCCCCAAAAGAACCGCAGCAGCCGCAAGTTGAGCCTCGGCCTTGGGCCCTGAACCAAAAATCACTTCATCCGGAATAGCATCGGCAACCCATTTACGAGTGGAAGCACACTTCACAAGGCAGGAAGACCATAACCTCCACCAACAACTCATAACCGTGATAGGACGAATGTCATCAACCCTGATAGAACCCTCCACCTGTTTGCTGGTCTTAGGCAACATGACGCACCGGGCCTCCAAGAACTGGGCGGGAACCTTTTTCCTGTGACCCCAAGAAATGGCTAACTTACGGAACATTTCCAAGATCCTACGAGGGAGAAAACGAATTTCCGCTCCAAGCCAACCATCCACGCCGCCCGAACCAGTCATAGATCTAGCGATACGAACCACTTCGTCCACCGACGGGTCTTGCCACTCAACCGGAGCGTAAGCGGCATGCCTTTGCAGGAGACTATCTCTGGTGATCCCATCAGGACGTCCCTCTTTAATTTCTTTCCAAAAATTGGACCAGTAGTTGAAAATACAGGTAGTAATTTCCTCAGCGGTGCAAACATTTCCATGAGCGGACGCAACCGCAACCGAACCTCCAGAGTTGGTCCGATTTCGCAACCATCTTCCAATAGCTTTGGGGTCCTCGTCAATCCAGGTTCTCCATTTAGCAATTTTTTGGGAACGCATGTCCATTTCAAGAGTTTTGAGGGTAGCACTATCTTTCTGGATGAGTTGATGCACATATTGCACCAAACCTGCCAAATCGTCAGATTTCTGACGAAGTTCCGGGAAGTGGCGGGCTAATTTCTTAACCAAGCTGTTTTGGACCGCACGCTTAAGTGGATCCGGAGCTCGAATGAGCCTCAAAGCCACCTTTTTGAGTTCGCAAAGCCGGCCCAACCGACGACGAAACTTGAGCGTTCGAAACCACCCGAAGGTTTCAGGAGGTCCATTTTTTGCCACTGACCGTTTGGTCCATTTCCCAAGAATGCCTTTCTTATGAGGCATGTTGCATTTACGGAGCAACGTCTCTTTGGATCCATCCTCTGCAAGGGAGTGCGCAAGCTGCCGAAAAGAGGTGCGAAACGTTTTGTCAACCGCACGGTTGAACCAATCCCAAGCCGCTTGAACGGGAAGCTCAAAAATCGCCTCATCCGGGCGGTGTTCATCCCATATCTGATCCAACAGCTGGGTCCAATCCTGCGGACTGATCCCAGCAGGTTTTTGCCAATCCGGAGTGTGCTGCAGGGTCCCCAGGTAAAGATCTCGCCGAGGAACATGAAAATCGGCCAAAATCAGCTTATGATCAGAAATGTAGATATCCGAAATGGTCAAACCAGAAAGCCCCGAAATCTGGTTAGAGGCAAACCAGTCAATTTCTCTATCCGAGTTCCAACGAGTGCTGCATCCTTGCGGGCGCGGGACCCCCCCAAACGCTTTGAGGGTCTCTCCAACAAGCGAACTTTCAGGGGTTTCATTAGCATCCCCAACCGAGATCCAAACAGAAGCGTTAGAGGGCCCAAGGGCCTCAAAAGCTTCCAAAAATAATTCACACAACTCCATCTGAGCATCACCCCGATTATCAGAAAAAGAAACCGGCGGAGCATAA